GGGAATGGAATCAAGAGACCCGAGTTCTAGTGCTGCCTCAGACACTTAATAATTATATGACAATGAGCAAACATTGATTTATCCAAATCTATTTCCTTTTCTGGAGCCAGTAATTCTCCCACCTCCTATCTTTGTCAACACTAAAGTCCTGTGTGAATATGAATTATTATTACTATGGGGAAGGAGGCTTCTATCACTTTCTTCTAGCCATGGATGCAAGGCCCAGAGCCTATTATGCAGTCATATCCGATTCTTCATGACCCCAGTTGGGATTTTCTTGGCAAAGATATTGGAGTGGTTTGCTATTTACTTCTCCAGCTCATTTTACTGAGGCAAACAGAGTTAAGTGACTTGCCCAGGGTCACACAGCTAATAAATGTCTGAGGCCAGATTTGAGCTCAGGTCTTCCTGAGACCCAGTGCTGTATCCACTGCACCATCTAGCTGTCTACTCCAAGTGATAATCCAGCCACCTCTCCTTCTGCCTCCAGATTCCCAGATACTGATCTCACTATACCTATTCCTTATTTTATTTCCCTCCCTCCGCCCCATGCCATCATTCCAGGTCCCCCTTGCCCTGTTCTTAGGAAGAGAATCCATAGAAATATGTGGCCAAAGTCTGGGAAGCAGCTAGTGGTTTAGACTCAAGATACTCACAGTGATTAACTTTTGCTAATCTGATCCAAAAAAGGGAGGGGAGGGGATCAAATTATCAAAATAAAAAAAAATGAATAAGGTGAATTCATAACAGAGGAGAAAATACAGTGGATTATCAGAAAATCCTATATGCAATTATATTCAGCAAAACTGCACATTCAGAAGAATTGGGTGATTACTCACAAGAATATAAAATACTTAAATTAACAGAACATGACCTAGAAATTCTAAACAACCGAGTCTCAGAAAAATTAAATTGAGCAGACTACTAAAGGAACTACCAAAAGGAGAAGAGAGAAAATACCCTGGTGCAGACAGATTTTCAGATGAATTCTATCAAACATTTAAAGATAATTAAAACTTATGCTACACAGATTATTCTCAGTAATTGAGGAGAGTACCTTTTATGAGGCCAATATGGTCTCAAGCCCTAAAGCAGTTTTGTTAATGAATTTTGATGAAAAAACTTTAAATAAAACCCTAGCAAATGGACCACAGCATTGTGGTAGAGAGCTGGTTCTAAGTCAGAAAGGCCTGGATTCAGGTCCTGCCTTTGACCTACACTGGCTGTGTGACCCTGGGCAAGTCACTTACCCTTTGTGTTCTAGGTCAGTGGTGTCAAACTCAAATAGAAACAGGAGCCACTAAATTATACCTAAGGATCCCTGTGGGCTACATATTGATTTAGAAAACCATATGTTAACATTATCTCTATTCTATTCTATTTTGGAGACAGGTGGTGCAGTGGATAGAGTGCTGGGCCTGGAGTCAGGAACACTCATCTTCCTGAGTTCAAATCTGGCCTCTGTTACCCAGGGCAAATCACTTAACCTTTTGTGCCTCAGTTTCCTCATCTGTGAAATGAGCTAGAGAAGGAAATAGCAAACCATTCTAGTACCTTTGCCAGGAAAACATCAAATGGGATCATGAAGAGACTTAAATGACTAACAACAAAACATAATTCTGTTTTTTATTTATTTTGCTAAATATTTTCCAATTACATTTTAATCTGATTCCAAGGCCTCTCCAGGCAGGCCTGTTTGACACCTCTGTTCCAGGTAACTCTCTAGGATCATGAGTTTCAGAGAACAGGCCAGCCCTGATTGGTGGAGGGAGTTTCCTCACCTGGGAGCCCCCTATACCAGTGAAATCCCAAGTTCAGTCCCTATCTCTAATACTATCATTCACTAGGACCAAATTAGATTTATATCAGGATACAAGGAAATATTAGGAATACAAAACAGCCGACCTAGTAAGAGACCTGGATGATGGTAGGCCAGTAAGGGGAACAAAGATTCCTAGGATTTGAGAACCAGCATGAGATCTTAGATATCATTCTATTCAACCTCCTTATCTTACAGATGAGGAAACTGAGGCACAGAGAACTGAAGTGAAAGGCCTGTGGTCCCACAGCTAGCAAATAGCTGAGCTAGGATTTAAACCCAGGTCTTCCGACTCTCAATCCAGTGTTCTTCAGGCTCTCCCAGGCTGCCTGTTCGGAGCTTTGGCCCCAGGCTATGCTGGGGATGGGGACAGAAGGGGTACAGTGGTCAAGAGTCAGATCAATGACCTTTGCCTTTTAATATGTGAGTTATCATGTACATGTGCATATAGGATGAAAATGAAACCCTGTATGGTGTGAAGGAACACATTTGATGTTGACTTTGATCATAGATACAAAATTAGAAAAAACTGTAATAATTTTGTCTGTGTAGAACTATAAAAATACATAATTCTAATCATAGACATGTATGTGAATTGCTTGCTATAGAAGCATAGTATCACAAAGTTTTAGAGTGGAAAGGAGTTGAGAGACCATTTAAACCAATTTCCCACTCAAAGAGGAACCCATCTTTCAACATCCAAGCTATCCAGCCTTCAACTAAAGGCTTTAAAGTGGGAGGGAGAGAATTTGGAACTCAATTTAAAAAAAAATATTACAAATGAATAAATAATAATTTAAAAAATAAATTTAAAGTGAAGGGGTGCCCAGTCCCTCCTTTGGCAGCCTTGTCCACTGACCAGCTTTCGTATTCATTAAGAAGGTCTTCCTTATGCTAAGACTCTGTATTATCTGTGATAGCAGTCCAAGAGTCAGGAACCCTGGCTTCTAGTCCTTCCTTCTTTGGTAACTCCTATTACAGAGGTCTCCCACTGCATCCTGGGCCATCTCTATTCATCCTGATCTAGACCTTGCCACTGGACCCAGATGGCTCCAGAGGAGAAAGTGAGGCTGGTGACCTTGCACAGCCCTCTCTCACTTAAATCCAATTCACTTGCATGTCATGGCATCACCTCCCTGATGTCATGGTCCTCTCTGAGAAGGAAGGACAAATCACACAATTGTGTGACACCTGACTTTGCCTCTGGGCTTCATTAGCTAAATGGGGGATGGAGTAGAGATATCTGATGCCTTCGAGCTGTCAAAATCTGATACTAGGAAAGTGATGTATGGGCTGCTTCTCTGCAGAGGCAGCTGAGTGTCATAGGGGAGGATAGACCAGTGGACTTGGAGTGGGGAAGACCAGAATTTGAATCCTGCACCAGATATTTATTAGCTGTGGGATTTGAGCAAGTTTACCTAGCCCTCTCAGCCTCAGTTTCTTCATCTATAAAATGGGAATAATAGTAGCATCTACTTCCCAAGAGTTGTTGATCAAATGAGATAATACATAGAGGCCCTTTGTACAACCTAAAGATATACAAATGTAAAACATATAAATGTATTTATATATGGTGGCTAGGTAGCTCAGTGGATACACACACACACACACACACACACACACACACACAAAACCCTTTACTCTCAACAATGTGAAAAGACAAAGCCCTGGCTATGACAGCCCAACAGCTGGGGTACCTTGGTACTGGGTACATAGTAGAAGTTAAGTAATTTAATTTACATCAACGAGCATTTATTAAATGCCTTCTTTATGCAAGGCACCAGGCTAGGCAATGGGGGTTCAAAGACAAAACGTCAAATATTCCCTGGCTTCAAGGACCTGCCATTCTATGGGGGGATATGACTTGTGCCTAAGTAATAGGGGGGGAAACTGTATACAATGTAGTTTCAAGAGTTAAAAGAGTGCACTAGCGAATGCTTTTTGACATCTCCCAAGGATGTGTATTACTAAATTATCGTTTAATTATATTGTTTCATGTAATTGTACATCTAGAGTATAAGTTCCCTGAGGGCAGGGACTATTTTATATGATTTCTGTCTCCCTCCTAGTATAGGGCCTCACTAAAAACTTTTTAATCCGTGGTCTCAGTTTCCTCACTTGTAGAATGAGGAAATTGGCTTAAGTGTTCTCTGAAGTCCCTTCCGGTTCTAAATCGATGATATATTCATTATATCCTGTTTTCACCATTAGATTGGGAACTTCCCAGATAGGATTGTGTGTGTTCCTCGGAGGCAGCTAATGGGTGTTGGCCACGCACTTAATCAGTGAAAAGAGTCATGCTTTTCATTGGCTTGGGGACCCTGCCACCAGTGAAGAGCATCACCCCAGCATGCTGTGTACACAGCCTTCATGATCCACTGCGGCTAAAAACATCCCCCAGTGGCCAGCCTTCTGGGGACGAGCCTGTTTCCTCATCTGTAGAATGAGAAGATTGGGTTAGTGGTCTCTGAGGTCGCTTCCAGCTCTAAACTCATGATATATCCTGTATGTCCTGTTTCACCCATTAGACCAGGAACTTCCAAAATAAGACTGTGTGTGTTCCTGGCTTTTCAGCCAGCCAGTCAGCATTTATTAAGTGCCTGCTATGTGCCAGGCATGGTGCTAGGCCCTAATGATACAATGAAAAAAAAAGTGAAACATAACCTTGTTCCCAAGGAGTTTATATTCTATTGGAGAGAAATGCACATACACAAGTAGGTATTTCATATATCTATATAAATACACACACATACATGTATATGTGTGCACATGCATGTGCATACACACATGTAACACATGTATATGTAACACATGTATATGTGTGTCTGTCAATCAATAAGCATTTATTAAGTACTGACTATATAGCAGGCTCTGTGCTAAGTGCTGGGGATACAAAGAAAGACAAAAGACAGCCCCCACTCTCAAAGATCTCACATGGCAGACACATGGTCCATCACTGGGCCAGATTCAGTTGGCCAAAACTGGCATGACCTTTGAAGATCCAGCCCCGCCACTCACCCCCCACCTTGCCATGCTGAAATAGTAGAGCAGGCAGGAGAGAACTTGGAACAACTAAATGCTTACTAAATACTCACAGTTGACTTTTTAATCCCAACATGGAAGGGAAGGGGAGAGGGAGACATGCCTGCAGTGAATTCCACCCACCTCCTCTCCCTTCCAGAAATAGCATCGCTGCTTCGGCTGTCTGCGCCTTCAACCTCAGTGCCATCTCCCAGGCCTTCAATGGCCCCTTCCGTTACCAGGAGAATCCAAGGGCTGCCTGGCTCCCCATTGCCAACCCTATCCCCAATTTTCAGGTATGGTTGCCCTTCCCACCCCTCATCTCCAATCCACCCCCACCTCAAATGCAATCTCTAAACTCTTTCTCTCTGGTTATTGGGAGTCATGGGGAAGGGGCCATTTTTAATTTACTGGAGCAAAAGTGAGTATCTTAAGGTGGCCAGAACTGGGTGACTAAGGAATATCAGTGCCTGTTTTTGATGGGAGTGTCAATTCCTTTCTTCACCCCATCTGGGTGAAAAAAGGAATGGAGTTGGTAGGGAAGAAAGGAAGGGATAGCTTAATTGCTAAGAATCATAGACCTATAAAATGTCAGTTCTGTAGGCATCTGTGAGCTTATCTAATCCAACCCCCTCATTTTACAGATGGGGAAACTGAGGCCCAGAGGGGAGAAATGATTTGTCCAAGGTTTCACAGCTTGTTAGTAGCAGAGTCAAGATTAGAGTCAAGATAAGATTTTTTCTGATTCCCGATTCAAATTTCCAGCCCCTGCTTAGAGGTAGGGATAGGGAGGCTTGGCTCTTTCAGTGTCTATAGAAAGTAGAGGGATGGATTTGTCAACAGAATCTTTGGCAGCCTAGGACAAATGAATTTTCCCCTTAGACATTTCCCCCCTCTTCCTACTACCTCCTCCCTGTTATGTGAAATCACAACCCCTAACCTAGTTTTTAGGCACTCCTTCCTCATCTCCCCTGGCTCTTTTTTCCTTATCTACCAGTGGGATGATATTGCCGGGAAGGGCCTGGGGAATGATAGGTGGACCTCATTAAGCTGTGGGGGATTTGTGGTGAAACTGACCGGGACTGGGGCTGTGGATAATTTATCCAGAACCCTCCTGGTAGGCGAGATTGTTTGTGTCTCAAAAAGGACCATACTGGAGATTCATGGAACTGGAGGCAGGGGGGGTTGGGGCTGGGTGTGGATAACTGTGAGGGTCCTGAGTGGGACTTAGGGGTATGTGACTCTCCACTTCTGATTCTCAGTGTGGGACCTTGCGAGATGTTGGCCCCAATGAGAACCTGACAGAGAGGAGCCTTCAGGATGCCCAGCGCCTATTCCTGATGAGTGAAGTGGTTCAGCCCGTGACCCCGGACCCCTGTATCACACAGGACAGCGTCCGCTTCTCTCACCTGGTGGTGGATCTCGTGCAGGGCAAGGACACCCTCTACCATGTGCTTTACATTGGCACCGGTGAGACCCTCCTCTGTGTTAAGGTTATCTCCAGGGCAAACAGACGACTTTGCAGAGAAGATGCAACATTTGTGCAGCTCTCTGACATAATTGAACTGTGCCTTGGACTATTTAAACAGTGTTGTTATGTCCCTTGGATGACGGTGACCCAGAGTCACGTCTCAATGGTAATGAGACCCAGATAGGGGTGTCCGTGGTGTATGGGAAGGAATGATTGAGTGAAAGAGACAGAAGGGAGTGGAGAGAGAGACAAGGAGGGGGGGAGAAAAAGGGGCTGAAGGGAGAGGGCAGAGAGATAGGGGAGGAAGAGAGGAGAAAGAAGAAAAGAGTGAGAGAATGGGGAAAGGGAGGGAGGGAAAGGAGAAAGAAAGGGAAGGAGAGAATAATGAGAGAGAGGAAAGGAGGGAGTGAAGAAAAAGGAGGGAGGGAGGGAAGGAGAGAAAAGAGAGATGAGGAGAAAGAGAGGAGAGAGAAGGAGAAAATCAGGAGAGAGAAGAGGAGGGAAGAGAGAGACACAGGGAGGGAGGGAGAGAAGGAGGGGGTAAGAAAGAGAGAGGGAGAGGAAGAGAAAGAGAGGGGAGGGAAGGAGAGGGAAAGGGAGAGGAAAGAATGAGAGAGGAGAGAGTAGGGGAGAGAGAATGAACAAATGTGTCATGTGGCTGAGAGTCAGGATACATCCATGAGGAACAGTGACTGATTTTGAGAGACTATAGTCACCTTGGAACCCAATGGTTTGGGAGGTCTTTGATTAGGGGATCAGGATCATGGGAGTTTGCAAAGAATGGGCCTTAGACCTGCATGCAGCTTTGGATTCTGGTGTCTTTACGAATAGTGATGTTTGCACTTGGGAAGCAATAAAAGTCCCCAATAGACTTGTTAAAAATCTGACTGATAGAGTTCTGAGCCCTAGTCTCTACCTGAGAAGGCAAAGTGCTTGGGGGAAAGCCAAGGGATCCAGGGTCTATATCAGAGAGACACACAGATGCAGTGTGCACGTGGGCAGGAGTGTGTGGGATCTGCTTCACTCGGCCCCCATCCTTAGGGCAACCTCTCCCTCTCCCTCTGCACCTGGGTGGGCATGTCAGTTGATCTCAGAGCAGAGAGGATGCTATTAGGCAATGTCCCTTCCTTAGTTCAAGAAGCTCTAGGTAGAGGTTACAGAAACCTGACAGTCGTCTCTGCCTCCCTCCCAGAGTCAGGCACCGTCCTCAAGGCACTGTCCACAGCCAGCCGCAGCCTCCATGGCTGCTACCTGGAGGAACTGCAGGTGCTGCCTCCTGGGCGTCGGGAGCCCCTGCGTAGCCTGCGCATCCTTCACAGTGCCCGCGTGCTCTTTGTGGGGCTGACCGATGGGGTGCTGAGGATCCCACTGGAGAGGTGCACCACCTACCATACCCAGGGGTAAGCCAGGGCACCAAGGGCAAATGGCGTGGGGGGTGGGGCAGGAGCGCTGGCCTCCACTGATCTGGAACCCACATTATTTTCCAGTTTTTCTCAATGTCATCAGCTGTTATCACTAAGGCTCTGGATATCTTGAATTCATTCTGTTTATTTTTATTCATTCACTTCATCTCAGTAAAAGAGGGGAGGAAGGGCCTTTGAAATCCAAACAGGAGGTAGCTGGGTGATATAATGGATAGAATGCTGGATTTGGAGACAGGAAGACCAGAGTTCAAATCCTACCCAAGACACTTACTAGTTATGTGACCCTCGGCAAGTCACTTGACCTCTATCTCACTTTCCTCATCTTTACAATCTGTAGCAGTACTTACCTCACAGGATTGCTGAGAGGATCAAATAAGATGTCTGTAAAGCATTTTGTAAACCTTAAAGTGAGGCAGCTAGGTGGCATAGCAGAAAGAGCACCAGCTCTGAAGTCAGAAGGACTTGAGTTCAAATCCAGCCTAAGACACTAACTAGCTGTGTGAAACTGGGCAAGTCACTTAACCTTGATTGCCTCCCCAAAAAAACCCTTAAAGTGGTATATAAATGTTAACTAGGCAGCTAGGTAGCATAATGGATAAAATCATGGACTCGGAGTCAGGAAGACCTGAGTTCAAATCCAGCCTCAGATGCTTACTAACTGTGTGACCCTAGGCAAGTCACTTGACCATTGTTTGCCTCAGTTTCCCCAACTGTAAAAATGAGGATTATAACGGCACCTACCTGATAGGGCTATTGTGAAGATTAGATGAGGTAATATTTGTAAAGCATTTAGCACCATGTCTGGCCCATAGTATGTACTTTATAAATGTACTATAAATAACATTATTATTGTTGTTTCCCTCCACTTCTAGACAATGGGTGACCCTCACAGACTTGCTTTGCTTTGTGAGATTCTTTGTTGAGATCTGAGGGTAACTGTTATCTCTTCCTCACCTAGAGGAGGGAGCAGGGATGAGTTAAGTAGTCCAAGGACCAGCCGCGTTAAGGATGAAGAGCGTCATCCTCAGAAATTTGGTCAGCAGGTGATGAATATTTAGTGATCCGTTAAATATGCAAAAATACAGAATTGCCCTCACTTCTGGGCAGTACTCTCGTGCTTCCAAAGGGACAGTGGCAGAGGGGCAGAAAGCGGGGAGGGGGATAATCACACATGCTCTCAGGCCATCTCCAAATATTAGTTTGACTGTTGACACTTTTCATGTGTCCAATTTCTGTGGGAAGAAATGAACCCTGTCCATACTGACATTATCTTGTCCATATATGATACAATGAATGATATACATATATATGTTTATAAATAAAATATAAATTAAATCCAAAGGCATAGATAAATTTCTTGCAGGTAGTTTGCAGGTAGTCCTCAGTTTCCTCATCTGTAGAATGGAGCTTAAAAGCAGTACCTACCTCTCAGAGTTGAGAATCAGCACCTATCTCATTTCTCAAAGAGGTGAGCAAAGGTTTGGCAGATGTGGGCTCCTCTTATCATCATATCATAGAATTCTCAATTATCTTGCGTCGTCAGTGCTCCCAAGAGGTGTAAGCAAAAGCACTATTACAAACACAATTGCTTCTCATTCATAAACATCCCTTGAAGAGAATGAAGAAATAATTAAGTTCTGTGAAGACCCTAACATGCTCTTCCAAACCAAGTCGACCTACACCTCGTTATCCTGTGATGTAGATTTAAAGCTGGATGCCAGGGAGGGCGCCAAAAAAATATGTTGAAAATATGAGTTGGATCAAGACATGGAAGAGACCAAATGCCTCCTACTAATTGCCAGAAGTCTTATGCCTCTGTAGGCCATGAGTAATTTCTTTGAGAGGAAACCTGAAGGTCTTGGACGAGAGGAGGACGAAAAGCATCACAAAAAAATGGAACTGGTTTTCTCTTGCTGTTCAGCCTTGTCCAGCTCTTCATGACCCCATTTGGGGTTTTCTTTCTCTTTCTTTCTTTCTTTCTCTTTCTTCCTTTCTTTCTTTCTTTCTTTCTTTCTTTCTTTCTTTCTTTCTTTCTTTCTTTCTTTCTTTTTAGGCAATTGGGGTTAGGTGACTTGCCCAGGGTCACACAGCTAGTAAGTGTCAAGTGTTTGGTCTGAGGCTGGATTTGAACTCAGGTCCTCCTGACTTCAGGGCCAGTACTCTATCCACTGTGCCACCTAGCTGCCCCCTCTTTTGGGTTTTCTTGGCAAAGATATTGGAGTAGTTTGCCATTTCCTTCTTTCTCCAGCTCATTTTACAGATGAGGAAACTGAGGCAAATAGGGTGAAGTGACTTGCACAGGGTCACACAGCTAGTAAGTGTTTGAGGCTGGATTTGAATTCAGGTCTTCCTGACTCCAGGCCCAGTGCTCTCTATCCTCTGTGCCACCTAGCCACCCTGGTTGTCTCTTAATAGACATGAAAATACTATTAAAACAATAGAAGGACATGAATTTTAAAATATCTCAAAGGACAAAGTTGCATCAATTGACCCAGTGTCTTTTGTTTTACCCATAAGGCAAAAAAAAAAATTAGAAAGAGGATGAACATTTTTATTTCAAAGTAAAATTAATAAAAAATTTGCATGAATCAATGTGCCTGCTCCTTCTCAGAATAAAATTTCAGTGAGGTCATTTAATCATTGACTAGTTAGAGCAAAGGTCAAAATAAATATCATATTAAAAGAAAAGATGACAAGCAGAAGAAAGATGTGTAAATCATTACTGCTCCAATACAACCTATTTAAACAAATTGTTCATGCTGAAAAAATAGGAAAATGGACACCATGGTGAATTAAGGATGTTTCCAAAGTAATCACCAGTTTTTAGAAAACTTTAATCTACGCAAATCATTTACCACAACAAGGAGGCTAGACTTCTTTCTACATGTCTCATGCCAAGACCCAGGAACCAGCTAGTGAGTGATCAGGAAACAGAGATGATGTTATATCTTGTGGGAGACCAATTGACTATCCATGCATGGGATTGTGGAATAAGAACTGGACTGGGAGGGCCCGGATCTGGGTTCAAAGCCTGTGTCTCCCATTTATTCCAAGTGTGCAACTCTGGATAAGTCATGTAACTTCATCTGTAAAATGAAGAGTTGGACTTTGCAAGGTGAGGGAACAAACATTTATTAAGCAATTACTGTATGCCAGGCACTGTGCTAGGCTATGCTGCTGCCTCTAGGGTTTCTTCCAGCTTTAAATCTATGATAGAGCATCTCATAGGAGAGAAGGAAGCTACCACAGCAGTATTAAAACTCCAGAGTTGCAGCCACATGTGACTCATGCATGTACGAGCTACAGATTTCAAAGGCCTCTGGTTTCTCTAGCGTGAGATCACAGACATAGGGTGGGAAGGGCTCTTAAAAGTCATCAAGCACTACCCTCTCATTTTACAGTTTACTTAAGAGACTCAGATGTTAGGTGATTGAGTCAGAATCCTAATTCAGGCCATCTGATTGCGAACCCATACACCAGATTCTATAGGGCACATGGACCAACAGTCACATGGCTCTTTGGGAGTCGTGGGAGCTACAGATAGAGATTCAGAGCAATAAGGCTGAGGACCACCTCAGCATCTCTCTTCCCATGGGTCCCACCAATGGCAATTCCTTTAACAGAAATAGGAAGTTTGGAAAAGGGGAGGGTTTGGAGGGAATAATAATGAGTTTGGTTCTGGACATGTTGAGTTTGAGATGTCTCTGGGACGTCCAGTTAGAAGTATGCATGAGGTAGCTGGTGATGCAGTGCTGGCGAAATGCTTAACAATCAGCTCTCCAGAGGAAAAGAAATGTAGACACAGCATTCTTCTAAGTCTAATTTGCATTATTAACTTTTTAATTATTTAATTATTGACTGTCATTATTTATTGTATTATACAATGATGTTTTTGGTATTATTATATAATGATATTGTTTCTAGTATATATCATATTGACACTAATTATTGTTATTAATTATTAACAAATTATATAACATTCATCTTCTCCATCACCTTCTTAAGTCGAGGCAGTCAAGAAGACAATAAATCAAACCCTGATTTGTAGTGTTTGTAGGTTTCTGGGGTATAAATGTTCACATACTGAACATTTAACAAGGGCTCTCTTGAGCCCGATTCAAGGTGACTCCAGTGTACCCCTGGTCATACAACTCACCAGGAAGTTGTAGTGGATAGAGTTCTTGACTTGGAGTCAGGCAGAGCTGGGTTCACATTCTATCTCAGATACTTACCAGTTGTGTGACCCTGAGCAAAACACTTTAACTCTGGCCCTCTAAAGTCCCTTTCAGCTTGAAACCTATAATCTTATGTCTGATCTTAAAGCCTGTCCTTTGTTATCTTCCTATCACATTCCTCCTGCATCACTGGCCTCCCTTCCAATGAAGTGTCAGGAGCACCCAACCCCACCCTGACCCGGCCAGAGCAGCTCATTTTGAGGGTCTGGGGGCAGTAATAAAGACTCAGGTGTCCGAGGTTCCCAGTTCTTCATAGGTATTAGCAGTGAAGAGCTTGGAAACAGAGAAGGATTCTCCCCTCATACCCCTGATCTGTATTCTCTCCTTTCCTTGCTGTACATGGTGATGGGCCATAAATCTTGATTTAATCCATTTCTATAGACAGTGTCTCTCTCCTGGCTGAAGCCCGTCAGGTGAAAATTAATTTTCTTTTTCACAAAGGAAGAAAAATAGGTAACAAAGGAACCCCAGTGGAAAAGGGGATCAAGGAAAAATTACCAGGATATGAATTAGGGGCAGTATGTGAAGAGAGGGCTAGAATTAGAAATGGCTGGATTAGAAAGACCTAGGTTCTAATCCCACTTGAGATATTCACTAGCTATGTGATACGGGTGAAGTAATCAATGGACAAGCATTTATTAAGCACCTACTATGCATCAGGCACTATGCTAGATGCTGGGAATACAAATACAAAGAAGGAAGCAATCTCTACTTTCAAGGAGTTTTTATTCTAATGGGAAGACAAAGGCATACAAAAGAAATCTAAGTGAATAAATATTTGAAGATAAATACAGAGTGGTGAAATATGAAGGTGTTAGGAAGGATACTAGTATCTTACAGATATCAAGAAATGCTCCATGCCAAAGATCGTGCTTGAATTGAATGTTTTTGTTTTTGTTTTTTTGAGGCAATCAAGGGTAAGTGACTTGCATAGGGTCACACAGCTAATAAGTATCTGAGGCCACATTTGAACTCAGGTCCTCCTGACTACAGGGTCAGTACTCTATCCACTGCACCGCCTGGCTGCCCCTTGAATCGAGTCTTAAGGAAGAGAAGGACTCTTTGAGGTAGAGGTGAGAAAGGAGTGCATTTCCAGGCATGGGGGATAACCAGTGCAAAATCATGGAGCCAGGAAATGGAATGTTACGTGTCAGTTTGATTGGATCACATAGTGGGAGGGGTGGGGCTACATTTGAGCGAGCTAACATTCCAAAGAGGCAGGAAAGGTAGGTTGGGGCCAGGTTGAGGGGGCTTCAAAAGCTAAACAAGAGTTATTATTATTTTTTAATCTTAGAAGCAATAGGGAGAAAAAATTAAAAGTTCACAGCAGAGAACAAAAGAAAACTTAGAAGAAAGCACAGAAAAGCAGAGCAGCTTTGAAAATAACGTGTAGTATTGATTACATGGTTCTCTAAAAAATTGTGAAATGGAAATTTATGGTTTTATGTTGAATACTGTTCTTATGTTGTACTGTGTACATGGAAATGTTCTTTTTTTGTCTTTCAAAATGAAAATGAATAAGTGAATAAAATTCAGTTCAAAAGAAATAAAAATTTTTTAAAAAGAAGCAATAGGGAGCCAATGAAATTAATTGGATAGGGGAGTGGCATGGTTCAGAGCTGCACTTAAGAGAAAATACTTTCATAGCAGTGTATAATAAGGTGATGAGAAATTTGAAGCAAAGAGACCGATTAAGAAGCTGTTGTAACAATCTAGGTGGGATATAATGAAAGGCTGAATTAGGATGGTAGATGTGTGAGTAGAGAGAAGGGGTCAGATATGAAAGATGCCATGAAGATAGAATTTATGAGGAATGAGGAAGGTTGAAGACAATACTAAGGTTATGAATCTGGGAGACTGGAAGATGGCGGTGCCTTTCACAGACATAGGAAGCTTGGAAGAGGGAACAGTTTGGAGAGAACAATAATGAGTCCAGTTCTGCACGTGTTGAGTTTGAGATGTCTCTGGGACGTCCAGTTAGAAGTGTCTATGAGGTAACGGGTGATGCAGGACAGAGCTCAAGGCTGTAATTCGGAGTAGTGCCGTATTTTAGGGCAGAAGGTGGTTGCTTCTAGCTGGGATTCACAGTGCTCTTTCCATTTCATAGCACTCTCTTCTTCCCTGGTGCCTTTGATTGAAAGGAATTTGGCTCAGTGGTAGGTGGAGTAGGCATCCAGATATGTATGGGGCCATCCAGCACTTTTTTTTTTTGAAATTTTACCTTTTAATTTCAAACTTAACAAATACCAAAAAGAAATGCAAAGTAGAATAGAAAAAGAGAATTTATATGTGAAACCACAAATTTTTATTATGTATAGCTTGCTTTAAAAAAAAATAAGTATGCATATTCAAAACTGTCCTGGTTGTCTTTATTTCCTTCTAACCTTCTGTTCTCTTCTGTATATTAGAAAAATGCTTCACTCTCTTTTCTGCTTTTTTTTTTTGGCAACACTATTATTAGATCCCCTTCTCCCAACCCCTCCCGCAAAGTAAAAAAAGAAAAACAAAGCCCTTGTAACCAATATATGTAGTTGAGCATCACAAATCCATATGATGGCCTCGTCCAAAAATGTATGTCTTATCTGCACCTTGAGTCCATCTACATTCAGGAGATGGGTGCCTCCTCATTGGTCCTCTGGAATCATGTCCGATCATTGTGTTGATTGAAGTTTTCAAAGTTGATTTTCCTTAAAATGTTTTACCATATAGATAGTCTTCTTTGTTTTGCTCACTTTACTCTACATCTGTTCATCCAACTCTTCCCAGATTCCTCTGAAACACGTTTTCTCCTTCATCATTTCTTATGGCACAAGAGTAATCCATTACATCAGCCATTCCCCAATGATGAGCACTTCCTTGGTTTTGCTGGCCTTAGAAAAAAGAGTTGCTTTAAATAATTTTGTGCGTATGGGTCCTTTTTCTCTTTCGTTTATTTCTTTGGGGGCATAAGCCTAGTAGTGGGATCTCTGGGTCAAAGGAAACACATGGTTTAGTGTCTTTCTGGGCATGGTTTCAAGTTGCTTTCTAGAATGACTAAACTGATGCATAGCTTTGCCGCTTACTACTGCCATTTTCCCTTTTTGTCATTTCTGCTGATCTGATGGGTGTGAGATGGAACTTCAGAGTTGTTTTAATAGGCATTTCTCTGATTATTCGTGGTTTGGCTAAATTTCTTCCTTTGAGAACAGCCTGTTCATATCCTTTGACCATTTATCTATTGGGTAATGGCTATCATTCCTATATGTTTGAATCAGTTCCTTATATACCTTGGATATCAGGGCATCATCAGAGAGACTTATTGCAAAGTTGTTAGAGTGTTCCCCTCAGTTAATAAAAAAAATAGCTGGCATTTATATATGGCCAGCCATGTGCCAGGCATTGTGCTTAGCACTTTACAAATATTATCTCATTATTCCTCATAACAATCCTGGGAGGGAGGTACAATTATTATCCCTTTTTTTACAATTGAGGAAACTGAGGCAAACAGAGGCTAAGTGATTTACTTAATATCACACATTTATTAAGTGTCTGATGCTGGCTTTGAACCTTGATCTTCCTGACTCCAAGCCCAGCGCTCTATTCACCACACCATTTAGTTGCCTATTTCTTTTCTAATTATAACTGCATTGATTTTGTTTGTGCAAACATTTTTCAATTTTATGTGATCAATGGCTATTTTCCACAGGGATATGACTCAGAGGGGAACGTCTAGAGATGGGGGATGGAGGGGTGGTGAGAGACATGATTTGGTGAAGGACATCTCAGGGTTCTTGTCCTTCAGGGAGTGCCTGGGGGCTCGGGACCCATACTGTGGCTGGGACGGGAAGCAACATCGCTGTAGCACGCTGGAGGACAGTGCCAACATGAGCCTCTGGATTCAGAATATCACAGCTTGTCCAGTGAGAAGCCTTCTTCCCTACCTGTGACCCCAGTTCTCCCCATCCCAACGGAAGTGCATGACCTTCATGACCCAACCCAAGCACCCGAGCCATCACTCTGGACCTGTCCCTTGACCCTTCCTTCCTCTCTTCCCCCTCGATCTCCCTTCTTCCCTACTTAGCACAGGGTCCTTGGTCCCACTGTTTCTTTGTAGGTGCGGAACCTGACATGGGATGGGGGCTTTGGGCCATGGTCTCCATGGCAACCCTGTGAACATGTGGATGGAGATAACTCAGGCTCCTGCCAGTGCCGAGCCCGAGCCTGTGACTCCCCCCGTCCCCGCTGTGGGGGACGAGCCTGCCCTGGACCTACCATCCATGTTGCCAACTGCTCCAGGTATGTAAGAGACATAACAGTCTTCCCCAGGGAAGTTGCCCCAGGACTCCTAGTTTGGGGAGTGACTCCGAGAAATGAGAGGAGTGCACTGGGATGGAGGAAGAAAAGTATTGCCGGGTGTCATAACGGAAGTATGATGATGAGAGAAGCCAGCAGGCTGCTTCAGGCTGAGCTTTACAAAGTAGCCAGTCCCACCTTGGCAGGGGCGCAGCCCAAGCCCAGGGTCCTGTCCTCAGCACTGCAGCCGCTCAGCTTTATCAGTTTATTCAGAGGTGAAGTAGTTCTTGGAATTGATTCACTCTAAATTCACTCTCAAAAACTAACTGATAAACCAAAATGCAATTGATTGATTTACAGGAGGGTTATACCTGGTCTAAGAACTAGGACGGTTTGGCACTGACCACTCCACTCAGGAGACTCAAATTAAAATAAGGACTCATATTTATATTTATTTATAAATTTTTATATTTATATTGTAATTATATTGGTTATATTATTGTTTGCTTTATTATATTATATAATTATATATTGTATATTATTATATTATATAATTAATTTTAATGATTCATTGTATTATTTTTATTATATATCATATGTTTATTATTAATATTATATATTTATATTATATTTAAGGTTCACAGATAGTTTTTTATACAAAAAAAAAGATTTCCACAGTGGGCTATGTCATCCATTTTATGTCAGTTCTTATATTATAAGTTGTCCAAGTACTATTGTCCCCATTTTATAGTTGAGAAAATTGAGACAGAGAGATTCAATGACTTACCTATGGCCACACAGCTAATAAATCTCAAAGGTTGCATTTGAATCTAGATTACCTGACTCTAGGCCCAGTGATATGTTCCCTATGTCACGTTGCTTCCTATGAAGCATAAAATTATTTGAGGAAGCAAAGTTAGACTTCCTTTAAGGGTATATTTTGGTCAAACTTTGGTGATCTGATGACCTTGTCCACTATAAGGGATATTTCTGTCTAAAAAACTGGGATAGCCCTCCTAATGCCAATGTCCCCTCCCTTGGACAGAACTGGAGATAGACAAATTTACTGTCCAGGTCTCCTTTTTCTATATCCTTGAATCAGTCACCAAACTCTACCACTGGAGTCTTGACCTCAGGATGGGCATCTATCTCCCTGTTAACTGTATCACAGTTTCTCTTACACTAATTAGCTTTTTAGTGAAATTTGAGAGACACCCTAGCAGCATCGGTTGTCTTGTCCCAGAGAGAAAGTAGGTCTGGGAAATGCAGGGCTAACGGGTCATTTGGTTCATCCACAAACATTTATTATGTTCCTACTATTTGCCAGGCACTGTGTTAGGCACCAGGGATACAGGTAATAAGAATTTAACAATCCCTACTCTCAAGGAGTTTATCCTCTAATGGTAGAAATAATGTCTCTGGACAGGATTTTGATGACTGAGATGTATCCTCTTGTCTCCACCAGAAATGGGGCATGGACCCCATGGTCATCCTGGGCTTTGTGCAGCACCTCCTGTGGGATTGGCTTCCAGGTCCGACAGCGGAGCTGCAGCAACCCTGCCCCCCGGCATGGGGGCCGAATCTGTGTGGGCAAGAGCCGGGAGGAGCGGTGAGTGAGACAGGGGCAGAGCTCTGTGGTTCAAGTAGAACCTGGATGGATGGCTGTGCAGGGAATTTTTGCATTGATCCTAGGAAAGAAAGAAAGAAGGGAGGAGGAAGGGAAGGATTTATTAAAATGCCTGTCTTGTGCCAGGCGCTGTCCTAAGTGCTTTACAAATATGACTTGATTTAATCCTCACAACATCCCTGGGAGATGGATGCTATTATTTATTATCTTTTTTCAGATGAGGAATTTGAGGCAGACAGAAGCTGAGTAGCATAGGGTCACAGAGACAGGAATCTGAATATGAATTTGCACTCAGCTCTTCCTGATCCCCCACTTTTCCCTGTGCCACATCATTGCCCAGGGCTCCGTAGCATTGGCTATTTCTTACCTGACTTTGAGCAGTCTCTTTAGCCCTTTGTCACTGTCTACGCCTCATGGGTGGTCTCTCATTGGAGGTGCTGTCCTTCTACCCAACCCTCTCCCCAGGTTCTGCAATGAGAATAGCCCCTGCCCTGTCCCCATTTTCTGGGCTACCTGGGGCTCCTGGAGCAAATGCAGCAGCAACTGTGGGGGTGGAGTCCATTCTAGGCACCGGACCTGTGAAAATGGGAATTCCTGCCCAGGATGTAGTGTGGTAAGTAGGGAAAGGTGAACTGGGAAAGGAGGCAAAGGGTGAGACTCAGGGACGGCATCATAGATGCAAACTATCAGGGCTGGAAGGATCATCTAGTCTAATCAAACCCTTCTCTCTTTTTTTCTTTTTTAAATTTTTATTGGTGTTCTTTTCTCTTTTTTCTTAGTCTCTTTCACTTCCAAGTGAGTCTTTCCTACCCCATATTCCAACCAAGCCCTAGCCCTCCCACCCTTCTTCCCTTTCCAGGGCCGTACAGCCCTCAGTACAGTCGAGCAAAACAAATCCATGCGTTGGCCGTGTGTGGAAATAGACGCCTCATTCCTCACTTGTGGCTTACCCACTCTCTGCCAAGTGTGCCATCAGTACTCTGAAGTCATCATTGGACACAGCACTGATCAGCTTTCTGAAGTCTTGCATTGCTTTTCCTTCACATTCTGGGGGCCACTGTGGAAATTGTTCTCCAGGTTTTGTTTCCTTCTCTCTGCATCAGTTCATGAGAGTCCTCTGAAGTTTCTCTGAATTTTTCGTGTTTATCATTGGTTGTTTGATAAAAGGTCCCATTATTTCACAGATGAGGAGGCTGAAATCTGAGGAAGGGGAATGACTTACCCAAGGTCATGCATAGCTAGTGTTTGGCAGAGCTAGGAGTAGAGCTCGGGCCTCTTCATTCTTGGTCTACAATTTAAGAGGTGGTGGTTCCGGCGTGACAATGTCCCCTCTTCTCCTCCTCGGGCAGGAGTACAAGACATGTAACCCTGAGAGCTGCCCAGAGGTACGAAGGAACACCCCATGGACACCATGGCTCCCAGTGAACGTGACCCAGGGAGGGGCCCGCCAAGAGCAGCGATTCCGTTTCACGTGCCGGGCCCCGCTCCCTGACCCTCACGGCCTTCAGTTTGGGAGGAAGAGGACGGAGACCCGCTCTTGCCCTGCAGATGGCTCTGGAGCTTGCGACACTGATGGTGCAGCCCCGGATCCCTCCTCTAGACCAGGGCTCTCCACAGGCTCCAACTCCCACCTACCCCTCCCCAACCCCCTTTCTCTCCAGGGATAAGGGGTCAGACAGATTATCATTTCAGGGTGGAGAGGCCAAGAAAGTGTAGTTGGGAAGATCATAAGAATGAGTCACAGACTGTCAGGAGCCGTTAAGTCCAGCCCCATCTTTGTATGTAGAGAAATGGGGCCAGAGAAGTGACTTATCTAAGGTCAACAAGGTTAGGTTGTGGTCATGTGGAGTTTTGGTTGGGCATGGCCCCCTCTCTTGGTGACTTTGTGACTCTTTGCTCCTAGCCCTAGTGGAGGATCTCCTTCGGAGTGGAAATAATGCTCCCCATGTGGTGAGTGGGGGCTGGGCAGCCTGGGGACCTTGGTCATCCTGTTCTCGAGACTGTGAATTAGGTTTCCGGACTCGGAAGAGAACCTGCACAAACCCAGAGCCCCGAAATGGGGGCCTGCCCTGCGTGGGGGATGTCACCGAGTATCAAGACTGCAACCCCCAGCCCTGCCCAGGTAATCCTTTCCCTCTCCTAGACAATGTCCATCAGCTTCCTTCCCTGCAATCCATAATCAAGGATCTATGAACAAGGATCAATCCTGTGCTTACTCTGTGCCAGGCACTGTGCGGGGGATACAAGGAAAGGCAAAAATACAAAACCAGTCCCTGCCCTCAAGGAGCTTACACTCTAATAGGGGAGATAACAGGTAAATAAATAGGCACATGCCTACAGAGTGGGAGCAAGGTAATAACAGAGGAGAAGGGTCAACTACCTCAAGGGACTGGGAGGGCCTCCTGCTAAAAGTGGCTTTTGAGCTGAATCTTGAAGGAAGCCAGGGACAAAAGGTGATAAAAGAAAACATTCTTGGCATGGGGGACAAGCCTATGCAAAGGTATGGAGGTGAGAAATGAGGATCACATGGGCATGTTTGTAGGAAGCAAGGAAGCAGCCAATAGATGGGGAAAGACTGAATATTAGAGAGAGTAGGATGATAGTGGGGGCCATCTGTTAGAGTAAACAGGAGGGAATGGGATTGAGGGTAGGGGTGACCTTGGTAAGGAGAAGAGTCACCTCTTTATCAGAGACTGGAGTAAAGGAGAACATGGTAGGGGATGATGTCAGAGGATGATGAGAAGGGAAAAAGAAGGAGCTCTCAATATATGGCTTCACATTTTTTTCAATGACATATGAGGCAAGATCCTTAGCTGAGATTTCCCCCATTTATACCCTATTATTAATTAGGGATATTGGGACATTTTTCTAAACTAGGTCTAAACATGGGACCATTTTCTTGGAGCCAAATAAGTGGGAGGAGTGGTCATCTAAAAGGGATCACAGAAAGGGGAAGGGGTCAGGGAGGGGAGCATAAGTGGGGAAAGGAATTAAACGAGTAGAGTCAAAGGACCTTGGGACAAATCCCAATTTTGTCTCTTAGGACCATGACTTTAGATAAATCTGTTTAATCCTCTGAGCCTCAGTTTCCCCATCTATAAAATGTAGCGGTTGAACTAGATGACCTCTTCTAAATCTGCGATGCTACTAACCTTATGTTTTATAGACTCTTCTCCATACCCAAGTTCCTTCCTCCCAGTATTTGTCTTCTCTTGACTTGCAGTGCGAGGTGCTTGGTCGTGCTGGACCCCATGGTCCTCATGCTCAGCCTCCTGTGGTGGAGGCCACTACCAGCGAACACGTTCATGCACCAGTCCTGCCCCTTCCCCTGGTGAAGATATCTGCATTGGGTTGCACACAGAAGAAGCACTTTGTGCCACGCAATCCTGCCCAAGTAATAACCATAGGGGTTATAGGAATATGGAGGGATGATGAAGGGAAGTCAGCATCATCTAACCATGTCTGAGCCCCGACCCTAATCCTTTTGTGCAGATAACATAATAGGGAGATGTTTGGTGTTTCCTAGACCTTTCATTCACTCCTTCATTCATTTCTTCATTCATTCAACCAGAATATATTAAGTGTCTGCTAGGTGCTAATACTGTGATGCTGGGGATACAGACAAAAATAAAATTTTTTTAAAAAAACATTTAAAGAGATTATAGGTCAGACCTCATAATAATGAGGGATGGGGAGGGGGTGGGGCAGAGAATGAGGGAAGATCTGGGTTGGAGGTCAGAATGGATGAAAGGCAGGGTGACCCAAGCCTTGCCCCCAGGTGGCTGGTCATTGTGGGCTGAGTGGAGCGTATGTGGTGAGGATGGAACCCAGAGCCGGAGTCGTCACTGCGAGGAACTTGACCCTGGGACTGCCCCCTGCCTTGGCAATGGCAGCCAGATCCGGACCTGCCCATACAGTGAGATCCCTGGTACAGATGCCTAGACATCCATAGCCCTCTTACCCTACTTCTAAGACTCCAGATTCATCCACACCAGGATCATCTTTCCTCTTGGAGATTATTTACTGTGTGAGGGCTGTGGCATGGGGTCAGGTTGGGGGATGGGGGGTATCAAGAGAAAAGCTCCCCAAAACCCCACACAGCTCCATCCAAGAGAATGGGGGAGGAAGAGGTGGGAAAAATCCAGGTACCCAGCATCCCCACCAAATATGCTTGGACAACAGTCCTTCCCATAAACAGCAGAATGGTCCAGTTCTTCCCAGAGCAGAAGAGGGGACTCCCCTATCTAGAACCACAAGCCCGGCGTTCAGCACACACCTAAGACTGACCCTAGTGATTCTCCCAGGGCCGTTTCCCCGAGGAGCAGTCATTCTTCAATCCCAATCCCCCTCCAATTTGTTCTTGCAGTGATCCTGCCTGCTTCCAGCATTGATGATGCCACCAGCTGTGGAGGTAATAATGACAGCAACACTGTAGTAATAATCATTCAACTTAGATCTTACTACTAGGCAACTCCTGTTAAACTTGCCCCCTTCCCAATATCAAACCTTACTCTACTCTTCAAATCTGGAGCCTCCGACCTTAGACCATCAAGACTTGATGGGAATAAGTAGAGGAAGGTTTGATATTGTGTTCCTATCAAGCCTGGCATTCCTAGTTGGACTGACTCCTCTGACTTTGGGGTTATGGTGGGAAGGGATGAGAAGTATGGATGTCCCGCCTAACCATGCCGGGTCCACCCCACCCTAGTCCCACTTGTAGATAGCCATCAGATTTGGGAGCACGAAGAAGACTTCTTCACCTGAATCCTTTCTGTTACACTTCCGACCTAACCCCTAAACTCTCTTGTCCTATCAAACAAGACTCTACAACTTCCCTTGATTATCTGTAGGCCATCCCTCCTCTATACCTCATTTGCTCCCCACTCTCTTGCCCCTTACACTTTGCTCTTCTCTGTCCTTGAAAGCCATTCAGGAGGCATTTGAGTGTCCCCCTTCTCCATTACTCCCCCCACATACTCCCTGCTTTCCTCTCCCACGCAGGCTTCAGCCTTATCCATTTAGTGGCTACTGGTGTTTCCTGCTTCTTGGGCTCGGGCCTCCTGACATTTGCTGTCTACCTGTCTTGCCAACGCTGCCAACGGCAGACCCAGGAGTCCACGCTTGTCCACCCTACCACCCCCAACCACCTGAACTACAAGAGTGGGGGTGGTGGCACCCCCAAGAATGAGAAATATACACCCATGGAGTTCAAGGTAGGAAAATGCCAATTTTGGTTTATGCTTAACCAGAAGGATTGTCTCCTTCAAGAAGGATCATGGCAGAGAGGAAGGAGGGATGGTTTGGGAGTCAAAAGACCTGGATTCAAATTCCAGTTCTGCCATGATAACCTGTATGATCTTGGGACCTAAGGCCCAGAGGCTCTAGACCTCAGTTTCTTCATCTGTAAAAAAGAGGAAATTGAAGTAGATGATCACAGAGGTCACTTCCAGCTCTGAATCTATGATCAATGAATTGGGGGCAGAGAGTGGTAAGAGAATTATGCCCACTCAGAATCATAGACACTCACAAAAAAATCAGACATACATTCACAAGCTTTCAGACACAGACACACACAATGTGGTATAGTCGATAGAGACAAGAAGGAAGAACCAACAGGATTGTGAGAAGAGCTTTACAAATACTGTCATTTGATTCCTAGGAGTCAGGTGCTATTATCATTCCCGTTTCACGGTTGAGAGGATTGTAGAGGCATGGTGTACTGGGTGCCAGATCAGGAACGGAGAAAGTGGGATGACTTCCCCTTCCTGGCACAGTCTAGCTGAGGGCCTATGGTTGTGTGCCAAGTCTGCCTGCCTGCCTGGGTCAGGAAAATAGTTTTTCCTGAAAATTGGCTGTTGATTAAGTCCCTGTGCTTTACCCACACTCTGCTACTGCCATGGATTGGATAGCTCTGTATGGTTTTAGGATTAGTTCTCCTGAGTTTGGCCCCATCACCCTGGAGAACCCTAAAAAGAAAGTCAAACCTAGATTCTAGATTCTAGACCTCTACTTCCTGGCTTCCTTGAAGTCCCATCTTCTAGATTCTAGAAAGTACAATCATCATAACAAGGTTTCTGCTGGTGAACCTTGGAGGATCCCGGGGCAGTGGAGGTGAGGTCGCTGTAGGCCGGCAGCCCCTACCTGCCTCATCATTTAAGGGCTAGAGGTGTCCCACCTGCCTCAGAGGACATTCACTGGGGAAAGGAAAAGATCGGGGTCTGGGACTTGCACAAGGCACTCTGATAGGTGCTAGGGATACAAAGTCAGAAGCAAAACAGTCCCTGACTTCAAGGAGCTTATACACATACAGGAATAACTACTATTACTATTCATAAATAATGAAATAGGGCAAGTGAAAAAAGCACTCAACTTAGAGTCAGAAGACCTGGGTTCAAATCCCAGCCTCAACATTTGTTAACTGTATTTCCTTAAGCAAGTCCCTTGAGGCCTCCATTTGGGTCTCAGTTTCCTCATCTGTCAAATGGGCTAAAAATATTTGCACTGCTCACCTGATACAGAGATTGCTTTATGGAAAATAGTGACACTATGTAAATGTGAACTCTTATCATAAGAGGTACAAAGTGTTATGTGTTCAGAGGAGGGAGGGATCACTTTAGCTAGGTTGGGAGTAGGGTGTGGCAGGGGCATGAGGGAAGGCCTTTTGAAGGTGCTAGGCCTTGAAAGATGGAAGGATTTCAATGGTAAGATGGGGGAAGGAAGGAGGGCATTCCTGGAGGAGGGGATAGCATCAGCAAAGACAGGAAGATAAGGAAAAGTACCTGCCTTGCCTCTACCTTTCCCCATCTCCTATTTGCCCTCTTTCATTCTCTCAGCCTGTATTTCAGCCCTTTCTCTGTCCCATCTCTCACTTGTCTTGTCCTTGACCTAGTTCCTTATATTTCCTCGATCCATCTCCTCTGCCCTCCTCTTTCCTCATTCTGCCTCACTCATCCCAATCCTCTTTCTCCCGCTTTGTACCCATCCTCCTTTGTCTTGCTGCTTCTTCCTTTTCACCTTGGCCTCAGTCTTCCTCTCCAGCCTCACCCCCGCCCAGGCCTGTTTCAGTCCCTGTCTTGACCTCTCTTGCTCCCTAAGACCCTCCCTCCTTGTGTCAGTCCCTTATGCCCCTCCTTCCCATCCCTCCAAAATCAGCCCCAGCTGATCGCCTTCTTTCTTTCCTTCTCCTGTAGACACTGAACAAAAATAACTTAATCCCTGATGACAGGGCCAACTTCTACCCACTGCAGCAGACCAACGTGTATACAACGACCTACTACCCCAGCTCCCTGGGCAAACACAGCTTCCGACCAGAGGCCTCCCCAGGACAACGATGCTTCGCCAATAGCTGATGATACCGCCCCTCCGGGGGATGGGCCTTCAGGCACCTCACCATCCTGGGTCCCCACCAGGGGTGGACAGTGCAATTCATTGGTTTTCTTCTTGGCCACTTGCACTCCCCTCTTGGGGCCCTGCCCGATGAGCCCTGGGACTAAAATACTCCCTCAGTGGGGAGGGGAAGGAGTCTGAAACGAGAGTGCTCTGGTTGGAGGGGACCATGGTGGGAGAGGGTCAGCATTTTGGCTGGCACGTGGCTGTGACCTCCCAACTCAGCCCAGAGGTTTTGCAGCTGTTCCCCTTACCCACTCACTACCACCCAGCTACATGCTAGATAACGCACCCACTAAGGATGTGAGGAATTTGGGGAGTTGGGAATGGGAAGAAGGTGGGATATTTTAATTTTGGCTGAAATGACTCTTCTTCTGGCCAGTACTGAAAAGAATATCCATATTTCGCTACATCAGGAAACAGGCCCCACCCCCAGCCACAGCTAGTTCCATTTTGGAAAGGAAATGAAAAAAAAAATATATATATATATGTATGTATCCAATGGCCCCAAACAATTTAGGTTTCTCAGCCTAGAGCTGGGCCACAGAGGACCATAACCCAAGGTTGAGCCTCTGCTCACGAGGTCAGCTATCGGCCTCTGCCCACGGACACTCATCTCGCTGGATCAGCAGTTTTTCTGAACATCAGTGAAGACGAGGCCTTCCCAAGAGCTGATCCACCCTCTGGGAGAGAGCCCGACGCCCAGGTCCAGCATAGGCCTCGGCCTTGCCTTTCTCTTGCCTTCTCCTGGTGTGGGAAGATGGTGACACAGAAGAGAGGAAGGCTCCAGGCCTCACGCAGACAAGATGCTGACAGCCTCTCTGGGGATCATCTTCCAGTTGCTGCTTATCAGAGTTTCAGGCTGAGTCCTGGGTATCTCAGCCTATTCTACATCCTTTCAAAATACACACGATGAACCTGCTACAGCAATGACAGTGACAGGCTGTAGCTTTGTTAATTAAACATTATATCCAGCCTATAAATATAATTTTCTTTGGGTTGTCATTTGTGGAAGAGGGGGATCTTGCGTGCACTTCATTTTCCAACCCAGTAGTGTGGCATGATAGACCTCAGCCTCTGAACGACTGGAGCTCGGTTTTTGACAGTCCATCAGTCAATCAATAAACACTTATCAAGCACCTGCTGTGTGCCAGGCTCTGGGTTAGCTACTAGGGATACAAAAAGTACATATAGAAGTATAGACTGAACACATACAAAACAGGGGTTGGGGACATACTTAGCAGCTTAGAGAGAAAAGAAAAGTGACACTCGAGTACAGTCTGGAAGGACATCAGGCATCCCAAGATATGGCAAGTGAGGAGGGAGTGTACTCCAAGCACGGGGGATAGCCTGTGCAAAGTCAGGGAAACAGAAGATGGTAAGTCAGGGGTGAGAAACGGTAATAAATACTGGATTGCAGAGAGAGTATGGCAGGGCAGCTAGGTGGTGCCATAGTGCACAAAGTGCTGGGCCTAGACTCGGGGGAAGATTCCTCTTCCTGAGTTCAAATGTGGCCTCAGACACTTACTAGCTGTGTGACCCTGGGCAAGTCACTTAACCCTGTTTGCCTTAGTTTCCTCATCTGTAAAAGGAGCTGGAGAAGAAAATGGCAAACCATTCCTGTATCTTTGGCAAGAAAACCCCAAATGGGGTCAGGAAAGGTTGGACTTGACTGGAAAAAAAACCTGAACAACAACAAAGATTAATAGAATCACTAGGTCTCAGAACTGAGGAACCTTAGAATCATCCAGTCTCTTCCCCATTAAAATATCTTCCTTCTGATATTTACCCCACACATTCAATTCATTATCAAATCTTGTCATTTCTACCTTCACTACATCTTTTTAAAAATATTATTTCCTTTTCTCCCTTCTGACTAGTCTCCCAACCTCCAGTCTTTCCCCCTTTACAATCCATCCTCTCCACTGCTGCCAAGGTAGTTTTTCTAAAGCCCAAGTGTGACCATAGCACATCTCTCTTCTCTACTTATCCCCAAGATGAGCTCCAATGACTCCCTATTTATTGCCAGTCTCAAATAGAAATGCCTCTATTTGGAATTAAATACATTTCATAACCTGGCCCTTCCCACCGTTACAGTTTTGTTATAATTTCTTCCCCCCCGCTACAATCCTGCTAAATTGGTTCTATTTGCTAACACAGCTCCCTATTTCCATGACTTTGCGCTGGCCACCCCTCATGTCTGGAATATCTGCCACCTCCCCTCTGTCTTGGCCTCCCCCTCCACGTGGGCCCCCTCCTCTCTGCCTCAGCCCCCTCCCTCCTCACGTGGGCTCCCTCTCCTTCACCAGGCGCCCTCCAGATGGGCCCCCTCCCTGCCCACGGGGGCGCCCTCCCCACGGTTTGGACCCCTAACCCTCCATGTGGGCCCCTCCCCTCCACCTCCTGGTTTCCATGACTTCCTTTAAGACTCAAGTCCCACATTCTGCAGGTGACCTTTCCCAGTTTTTTCCCCTACTCCCTCCAACTGCTCAGGTTACCTTCCATCTACTCCGTATACATCTTCTATGTATCTAATTATTTACATGGCATCTCCCCCATTAGGATGTATGATCCCAGAGGACAGGGACAGTTTTGCCTTTCTTTGTATCCCTGGGGTTTAGCATTAGCCCAGAACACAGTAAGCACCTAAGAAACCTGTACACTGACTTTCCAGCTTACAAAGCATTTCCACCTTATCTGATCTTCACAGAAGCTCTGTGACTTAGGCGGTGAAGCCTTGGCTGGTGTGAGGACCTAACGAGTATGAGTATGCCAAGCAGTTTACATATTGTAGATATCAGTTGTTATCAGTAGTTATAAAAGTGATGGTGATCACCCCCACTGTACAGATGAGGGAGCAGGTTTGGAGAGATTGAGTGATCCAAGGTCAGACAGCTAGAAAGTGGGCATATCCGTTCACGGAATCCAACTCTTTGGCTCAAAATGCAGCATTTGTCCTTCAGGCTGAACCACAACCGTCTCAGTAAAGGGCCCTGGCTGAAGGAGGAAGAGCAGCTGTTTTCTATGTTCTTTGGGAACAAGGATGAGAGGGAACCGGCCCCTATAAATCCAGGAGGACTTAGGGTAAACATGAGCAAGTACTTCCAGAGAGGGCATGTGAGATGCTAGAATAAAGAATGACTGAGCTTCCTGAGGCTTCTGGGAATTTCAGGAGAGAGATAGGAAGTCTCATTCTGGGAAGGCAAAGAATGTGTCCTCACATGATAGGCAGAAGGGATCTGGTTACTATTGAATAATCAACGCTCCAGAAATAATATAAACACATATGATATTTTTTTGGAGGCAATCTGGGTAAATTGACTTACCCAGGATCACATAGCTAGTAAGTGTCTGAGGTCAGGATTTGAACTCAGGTCCTCCTGACTCCAGGGCCTCTATCCTCTACTCTACCTAACTGCCCCTACATTGAAGTTTAATCTGCAATTTTAACATTTTCTCCATCATTTTCTGAAGTCTAAACAACCAACAAAACAATGAATCAAGCCCTGATTTGTAGCGTTTGCTGATTAATGAGTTGTAAAAGCTCACAGTGAAACTTTAACAATCAGCTGTGTATAGGCTGACAACAGAACAACCCTGGTTGGCAGAGCCTTGCAGCTTTCTCTCTCTCTTAGAAAGAGATGACTGTTCCATTCCAAAAAGTCAACCCACTTTCTAACCAATTGTCCATTCTGCGAATCAGGAAGGAGCTAGCAGAGAAGAGAAAGCCCAGAGTTCAGTGATGCCACTGGGTTTCCTTATGACTCCTCAGGAGCCAAACAAGGAAAGAGGCTAGAAAAAACCTTAATGGTTCCCTGATGTGGCTGGTGCTATGACGGATGCCAAATGAAAAGTTAAGATTTGTGTTTTCTTTACCACCCTTTCCTTAACCCCCTCTACCCCCCCCCACAGTGTGATTTCCCCCCCTCATCACTGCAACTGTTCTCCCCAAGGTAACCGATTACCATTGTTCATGGCCTTGTCTCCAGACTCAGATTCCTTTGCCATAGCACTTGACCAACCCGGGACAAGTCTCCCCTCCCCTCTGGAACTCTCTTTCACTGGTTTTAAATAATAATAATAAAGAATCATCTGTTTTACTGGTTAATGTAACTATTTTTTAAAAGTTACATTTCTGATCATAAGAACCAAGGGAGAGGATGCAGATCTTTTATCCCAGTGACATAGACCTACAATTTACGTCAGGAAATCTCTTCAAGTTCTCTTCCTTATTCTCTGACAGTTCCTTCTCCATCTTCTCCCCCCTTTCCCAATTCTTAAACTAGAGTCAGGGACATCCATAGAGTATGGTTAGGGCTGGGGTTGAGTTCTTTTTTTTTTTGGAGGAGGAAGAAGAGAGGCAAGTTACTTGGAGAACCAGCCAGCTGGAGGCGTGCAAGTGAATCAGGATGGCAATGGGTTGAAAGAGATGGCCCTGATGGATCCCAGGAACATCTCTGAACAGTGTGGCTCATAGGATCAAGGATATAAAGCTCAGGGGGACCAGCTTTGGAGATCATGTAACCCAACCTCCCCATTTTATGCATAAGGCAACTGGGCCCACCTGACCCCAGGTTAAATGATTTGCTCAAGGTCACCCAGGTAGCAAATGACAGAATTGCATAGATTTTGATTTTGGACCTTGGATTCCAAATCCTGTGATCTTCCATGAGCTGGTGCTGCTAGCAACAATAACAACAACAACTCTATGAGATCCTGTGAATTGCAAACACATAGCCCTGCCCTATTCTCTGTTACCAAGGTAAGATGGCCGGGACAGGGAATGGGGCTGGCTATTCCCCCCCCCCCCCCCCCCCCCCCCCCCGCCAAATCCAGTTTGCAGGCTGCCCTTGTGTGACCTGGATTTCCTTGGTTGCTCCTTCATTGTTGTTGCTGTTTCAAATTTATCAATTAGCAAGCTTTTTTTTTCTCTCTACACTCTCTACAATTGAATAGAAAAACCAAAACCCAAAACCCAAAACCCTGTGACAAACATGCATAGTTAAACAAAAGAAATACATTCCCAAGTTGTCTCTATCTAAACATCTTGAATCCATCTCCTCTCTTGTCAAGAAATTGGCCTTTTGCTTCATCATCAATCCTTTGGAATCATAGCTGGTCATTACACTGGTCACAATTCTTAAGAATTTCAAAATTGCTTTTCTTTACAAACTAAGTGACCCAGCAGATACAGCGCCAGGCCTGCAGTCAGGAAGACTCAATCTTCCTGAGTTCAAACCTGGCCTCAGACACTTACTAGCTGTGTGACCTTGGGCAAGTCACTTAACCCTGTTTGCCTCAGTTTCCTCATCTGTATAATGAGCTAGAGAAGGAAATGGCAAACCATTCCAGTATTTCTGCCAAGAAAACACCAACAGTTCGTACCAGTCTTCCAAGGTTTTTCTGAAACTGTCCCTTTTGTTATTTATAAGAGTATACCCTACTTTATTCAGCTTTTCCCCAGCTGATGGGAACCCCCTTAGTTTCCACTTCTTTGCCACCACAAAAAGAAATACCATAAATATTTTGTACATATCTTTGTACACATGAGTCTTTTTCCTCATTCTTTTATCTCCTTATGGCATAAGACTAGTTGCAGTATTGCTGGATCAAAGGGTATGCCCTAAGGGTATGTATTTGTTTGATTCTTTATTTTTAGATGTTATGTTTTTGTTATCCTCTGGTTTTTTTTTTGTTTTGTTTTTTTATCAGCTTCATTTCTGAATCTATCCCTCTGGCTCCTCCACTCCGGGAACTGTACCTTGTGCCAACAAACACACAAATGAACAAATGAATGAATATGAAAGAGAAGTGGAAAAAAGCCATTCATTAAAATTAATCAACCCATCCATCAAATCTGACAGTTCTTGGCACCTTCTTAGACTTAGCACTAATTTTTACTCGTCTCCATTCTATTGATTAAGGTTGTTCTTCATGTCTGTTTTCACTTGGTATCACACATACAAATAAGTGATGGTGAATGTTTCTCTCCCCACCTCCCATCATGGTCCTGATTTCTGTTGCCTCCCAGATTCCATTTCCACTTTTCTGCTCTTCTCTCTCCACATTCATTCCCTTGGGGAGCTCATGCACTTTCATGA